TCCCGGCGCACACGCAGAGGAGAGAGAGCGAGACAGACTCGGAAATGAATCGTTATTTATGGTGATCCCGACGACATTCTCACCTTTTCATTCGCAATGCTAATGGATTTTTTTTCCTTTCTTTTTTTTCTTTTCTTTTTTTCTTTTGGATATTTTGAATATGGGGGGGAAAGTTGTTATTGTGGTTTGGATTCTTACGAATAGATTGGAATGAAGGTAGGCCTATGTAATGGGAAGAATTTGATTAATATGAATAAAATTAAAATTCTGTTGGTAGATAACGACTTCGTACTTAATTGGCTTGTTTGACGAATTGCTCACTGTTTGCACTTCCTTGTTTTCGAAATTAATAATGATGTCTTTGGTAATATTGATTATTATAATTGATTATAGCGATGGCAGTGATTAAAAAAAATCCTAATGACAGAAAATGAAGCATCATAATCAATAACAAGTATACAAACACACGCGGCACATCCTTCTCAATATACATACATACATACGTATATATATATATATATATATATATATATATATATATATATATATATATATATATATATATCACATCTCACATTTCGTTAGTCTAAGTGATAAATCGACAGACATCTCACATATCGCTAACTCTGTCACAAGTTGTGGTTCGGGAACATTTGCCTCGGCAAACAGGACATCAAATCAATTCATTGGTAATCGACATGACTAATCCCCATGCCCCCCCCCCCACCCTCCTCGGGTATCACGTGATCTACGTCTTCTCTCCTGCTAAAGTAATATAATCTCAATAAAAGTCTTTTGTCTCACTCTCTCTCTCTTTCTCTCCCTCACTCTCTCTCTCTCTCTCTCTCTCTCTCTCTCTCTCTCTCTCTCTCTCTCTCTCTCTCTCTCTCTCTCTCTCTCTCTCTCTTTATGTATATATATGTATATTTATATATATTCTTTTCTTTTCTTCTTTCTTTTCTTTTTTTCCTTTTTTCTTTTGCACGGCGGTGTAATTCACTGATGTCTGTTTCTGGACTGTTATCGTTTTATATGTTGAACTGGTTACATTTATTTCCTTATAGATATCTATGTGTGTTTATATATTTACATTCTTGCTTGTATCTGTTTGCTTTATTATTATATTAACCGGACTATTTATTTACATTTATTTATGTAATCATTTGTCTTTATATATTCGTTTGTCTATCATTATTATTTTTTTTTAGTTTATTCAGTTATTTAAAAAAACGAATTAAATTATCTATCGCTTTCATCTACTCTAACTTCAATCTTTTCATCCCTTTGTGTGATTACGTAAAAAAATCAAGGGTTTCAGTCAATTCTAGTAAAAATAATAACAAAAGTAATGATAACAACAACGAATAAGTAAATAAATAAATAAAAAAGTTAGTATAATCAAAAACATTAAAAGAGATTTTCTTCCGCACACTCCCAAGGAATGTATAAAGACTCGAGGGTAATTTCGTTCTGGATAGAGAAGTTGGTGATTCATTCATAAATCTTTTGTGCGTTCAATGACGTGGTAAACACTGGCTCCGTTGCGGCTTTTTACCTAGGACCTATGTTTTATCTTTTTTATATTTTTTCTCTCTTTATTTATTTTCGTCTGTTTCCATCTTTTTTTCTGTGTGTTTCCCTGTTAGTTTGTCCCTCTCTCTCTTTCTCATTCTCTCATTCTCTCTCTCCACCAGGCTATGTCTCTTTTTTCTACCTCCCTTTTCTTCTCCCTCTCTTTCTCTCTCTCACTTTCTATATATATATATATATATATATATATATATATATATATATATATATATATATATATATGTATATATATATATATATATATATATATATATATATATATATATATATTTCTCTCTCTCTCTCCTATTTTCCCCCTTTCCTTCCCTCCCTCCTTCCTCGCTCTCTGTCTCTCTATCTATGTATCTATCTGTCTATCGTCCCCTCCTGCATTGTTGCTTTTTACCTAGGACCTACCTTTTATCTTTTTTATATTTTTTCTCTCTTTATTTATTTTCGTCTGTCTCCATCTTTTCTTTCTGTGTGTTTGCCTGTCAGTTTGTCCCTCTCTCTCTTTCTCTCTCTCCACCAATCTATCTATCTCTCTTTTTTTCTACCTCCCTCGCTCCTTCCCTCAACCACTCATTTCTTCTCCCTCTCTTTCTCTTTCTCACTTTCTCCTTCCCTCCTCTCTCTCTCTCTCTCTCTCTCTCTCTCTCTCTCTCTCTCTCTCCACATATGTATATATATATATATATATATATATATATATATATATATATATATATACATATATATCTTACTCTCTCTCTCTCTCTCTCTCTCTATATATATATATATATATATATATATATATATATATATATATATATATATATATATATATACATATATCACATTCTCCCCCTCTCTTCCCTCCCTTCCTCCTTCTTCTGTTTCTATCTATCTATCTGTTTATCGCCCTCTCCTCTCTCTCTCTCTCTCTTTCTCTCTCTTTCTATCTATCTATCTCCTCCCTCTCTCTCTCTCTCGCTCTCCCTCCCCCTCTCTCTCTCTCTCTCATATTCCCCCTTCTCCCCCCCCCCTCTCTCACGCACACATATACACACACGCGCGCTCACACATACAGTAACATTACCTCAAGGACGAACTGTTGTTACACTGAAACTGTGGGTTGTATGCCGCGCGTCCCTTTGATTAAAATAAAAATGCTGCAGCTGTGCAATGCGGGGAAAACCCTAGAACGTGCTTCATTATATCCTGATAAAGTATTAGATCCTGTTTAACATCGTGTACTCTATTCCAACCCCCTCTTCATACGTCTGTCTACTTATGTATTAACACTCTCTCTCTCTCTCTCTCTCTCTCTCTCTCTCTCTCTCTCTCTTCTCTCTCTCTCTCTCTCTCTCTCTCTCTTCTTCTTCTTCTTCGTCTTCTTATTCCCCTTCTTCATCTTCTTGCTATGCCCCGTGCGAACAAATAAATCAAACTTAACAATATGCTATGCTCTATCACTTTCGCTTCAGACCAACAATGGACTCTCCAAAATTGACTCATTATTCCCATCAATACCTTCAATATCCTCATTAAACTTACTGTAGCACGGCAAGGGTTGGCATCCCACACACCCAGCGGAAACTCATCATTATAGCCCGTAGTTATTTTTCGTATACGTTTAAGAACCTCCAACTTGTGCGTTATTCCAATATATTTTTGAATCGCTTCCCATAATGATGAGGAGGATGGCAAGTTACAGTATACAATCAAAGACAGTTATATTTTTTCAACGGTACTAATATTTATAATTATGGAACTGATGACCTTAAGCGATCACTCGTCACCTTCAAATTGGCTCAATGAATATTGTTATAACAATATTATTATTGTTATTGATGATATTGCTTTGTAATTTTAATAATTTTCCGGTCTCTTTTGTTGCTTTTATCTTTTGTGCAATTGTTTTGAGTAACCTTTCTTATGTTGTTTGATTTGCCCTAATGTGTTGTCTGATTCCAAACAAATTTTTAACAAATCCATTTATCATTTATGCTTTGTAATTCTATTCATCATTTATCATTTATTACTTATCTATTTATCTACTTATTTTTTTACTTGGAGCTCCAGTCCTTAAAAGACCCATCCATTATCATTCTACCTTTGCAGTAATAAACACAGTCCTATCTGTATGAACAGCCAGGGTCGAAAACTCTTTGTTAGACACGCTCTAACTTCCGCAAGCAACACCCAAATGATGCAATTCTTGTTGTATAGTTTTCCAGAGAGCTTTGACTCTTCATTCACATATTTTTGTCTCGATGTGGATATCTATATAAATACATACCTGTATATATATACATATATATATATACATGTATATATATATATATATATATATATATATATATATATATATATATATATATATAGAGAGAGAGAGAGAGAGAGAGAGAGAGAGAGAGAGAGAGAGAGAGGTATGTGTATATATGTATACATATATATATACATAAATACATATACATGTAATATATATATATGAATATATATATATATATATATATATATATATATATATATATATATATATATATATATACATATATATATATATATATATATATATATATATATATATATATATATATATATATATACATATATTATATATATATATATATATATATATATATATATATATATATATATATATATATATATGTGTGTGTATATATATATATATGTATATATATACATAAGTATATATACTTCTAATATATACGTATATATATATATATACATATATATATATATATATATATATATATATATATATATATATATATATATATGTACACACACACACACACACACACACACACACACATATATATGCATGTGCATTGTGTCTTCAACCTATGCTGAAAGATAGTGCTCAAAGAGAATACACTAAAAGAAGCATTCTCTACCACCAAAGCCATAATTAAAAGCGATGGTAGCAATGCAGCGAATATGATCTCGATGTCCAGCATCAGTGTTAGTGAATGCGGAAGACCCAGGTGCATAATAATCACGGAAATAAATATATACGTGTGTAATGTGCATACAATATGGTAGTCCTTTCCTATTTTCGACCGTCATCATACCCCAGTTGCTCACGTGATTGAAACATTGCAGTTCCGGGGATGACAAGGTTGTAATAACAATAGAATCCGGTAGTTCAGCTTTTCATGGGCTTTTACGTAATACCCATTACCATTAAGGAGTATTTACATTATTATTCACTTACGAAAGAGTATTATCAAGGGAATCAATACATATATAATCCCAATCCGCCGAGATATAATAATTAAACATACGAAATTTCTACTCCCTGAAATGTGTTTAACGCAATGATGAAAAATTTCGACACGAGAGTTGGCAACCCCGGGCTTGAACGGCACCACCAGGGACCCTGAATTCTAACCTAACCTACAGCACGTGTACCAGCAGTGCCAGCCAGTCAGTCAGTGGGTGCCAACTGCACGGGGAGGACGAAGGGCCCTTTCACTCGAGCCCTGTGTGTGAAATAGGACCTTTTCTATGTAAATTTGGAAGCACATTACACACGAACATACATGCGCGCCATAAGCTGCATTTGACCATGGAGACTACTGTGCTGAGGATCTTCCATTGCGTGGCCATTTTGTCTTCCGCGAGCAGTTTGAGGGTGAGTGTGGGAGGAGGAGAGGATAAGTGTGGAAGAAGAGAGTGAGGGTGAATGTGGAAGAGGGTGAGGGTGAATGTGGAGGAGCAGCTTGAGAGTGAGTGTCGAAAAGTTTAAAGTTAAGTGTAGAAAAGGCGAGCAGAGTCTGGCGTCCCCCCCCCCCCCACACTCACACCCCAGGACCACAATTCTTAACTTTCTTTTTTTAACTATTTCACATCTTTGTGATAGTTTAAATTTGTCCCCTCGAATAGCTCATTTTTTTCAAATTTTGTTCGTTTCTATCGCCAACCCACCTGTAACTCCCCACTCCCCCCCTCCTACAAAAGCTGAAATGACGCCCCTGGAGATGAGGAAGGGCGAGCGCTCAAGAAGAGTTTGAGGGTGAACGAACACCAACAAACGCAATAACGTGCAGACCAAAAAAAATAAAAAAACTGCCACAATAAGACATGAAAGTAAATCGTGACGTTTCGAACTCACCGAGGGTTCCTCATCAGCCGCACAAGTAACCGAAATGGATGAAAGGACTATCCATTTCGGATCTTTGCTCGTCTGATGGGGAAATCTTGGCGGGTTCGAAACGTCACGACTCAATTTCATTTTTTGTTGCAGTCATTTACCTTTTCTTCTTGAGTGCTGAGTATTTAAAGGGGAGTTTTGGGGTCCGTGTCTCAGGGGAAAAGTGTGAAAAGGAAGGGAGTAGATGAAAGGAACAAACGGCGTAGATGATGTAAGATAATAATAATAATAATTATCATGATAATGATGATTATAAATAATAATAATGACAATGGTAATGATAATGATAATGATAATGATAATGCTAATAATAGTTGTAAAGACAATGTCGCTTTCGCTTATTGAGATAATAGAAACTATCAGTGATAACACTGATATCAATATCAATAAAGATTATAATGGGAACATTAATGATAGTAACCTTGTTTTGATGATGTGACTAGGAAAGAAATGATGATGATGAAAATAATGACAACAATAATGATAAGATCATGAGAATGATAATAATGATAATAATAATAATGATAATAAACATTTTAATAATGTTAATAGTTACTATAATAATAATGATAATAGTTACTATAATAATAATGATAATAGTTACTATAATAATAATGATAATAGTTACTATAATAATAATGATAATAGTTACTATAATAATAATAATAACAGTAATCATGATCATAATAATAAAGGTACCTATTGAAATTCTAGTGATGATAAAGATGATACTACTAGTACTACTAATAATGAAGAATTAATGCCAATCTTTATCATGATTTTATCGTTACTATTACTACCATCATTTTTACTACAATAATTA